GTATCTGTATCTGTATCTGTATCTGTATCTGTATCTGTATCTGTATCTGTATCTATATCTGTATCTGTCTGTATCTTTTCCCTTCTATGTAATAGCTATTTATAGCTATATCTTCTTTCATGATATTTTCTATATTCATCCTAAGGCAGCCCTTATCAAATCTCATATAAAATATTTGGCCTACGCAGGAATTCATTCTCTTGCTGTTCAGTTTATTAAATAGCACAAGGAACTTTAGTTGTAAATTAATTTCATGGAATAAATATGTGAAAATATCCTATGAGCGTAATAATTATTAATATATATTCCTGTGTGTGTCATATAAGCCGTGTGAGTTACTAGCGTCTGGTTTGGGGCATAAATATGAATACATAATTGGAACACAAAATTCCTAAAATATTTTACAACATACTCCAACCACTAACTCAACTCTCTCTCCCTCTTTCTCTCTCTCCCTCTTGCACTCCCTTTTGTGTATGTGTATGCTTGTATGTTGTCCATTCTTGTTGGGCTACCAGGCATTCATTGTCCTCCTCCTTCATTTCAGAGGCAAACACTCATAGGGAGCTGCGGTCACCCACGGAGGCAAGGCGAGGCGGCCAAAGATGGACCTAGGTATACGTAATCTAACACTGCCACCGCCAGCCGCAACAACAATTATGTTCTCGTCAACAGCAACAACAGCGCTGGCCGCCGCAATGTCCAGTGGCCCAGCGACAACAATTTCGCCAACAACAATTGAGGCAACAGCAACGACAGCAACCACAACAACAACATCCACATTTTTTACATACAGCATACCAGGCATGGACATTGCGCCGGGACCATTTATATTCACCTACGTTAGTGAATTTTTATCGCTTATCACGCCCGAAGAATTGCCGCTTGGTAAGTTTGTGGGGCGACTCTGGGTAAAGATTCAGGGTTTTATTGTGTGTGTGCTTATGTGTGTGTGTGTATTTGTGTTGGTGTGGTGTGGTCTCTGACTGCCAAGCAATTATTTGGGCTATGCTTACATACTCAAATCATTTATACCAAAAAGATATATTAAATGTAAAGTAATTAACATAAAATTTATAGAAATATGAATTATGAAACTGTAGCGAGCATATTTATTATTAATACAAAAAAATATATATATTAATATCAAGTATATCCATTAAAATAAATAAAAGAAGTACATAAAGAAATATTGCGAAACTTGCATAGAATTCTTTATTTTTTGCTATTTTTATTACCGTATTCTTCTCACATTATATATAAGGATATTACAGAAAAATATCCAACGTCCCTTGATTCAACTTCATTCGCCTCCCCATTGTGAATGATTTTCATGGTCACTGCTCGGCAGCTGTTCGCATTGTGAATGCTGTACGCTGTACGACATTGGATTAAATTATGACACTAAATTCAGCTGGCGTATATTTTATGGCTCTTAGTCGTACAAACACTACGCCGTGTACTACACGATTTTAGTCTGCAGTCCGTGGGTCGTAGGTCGCGATGGTGTGGCAGAATTTCTTATCAAATATGCTGGTCACCGCGCCGGCTCTACCACAATAAAATTTTTGAAGCGTTGAAGAATTGTAGCAAAGTCAGCTGGGAGAAAGCTGGTTAGAAAGAAAAAAAAAAATCACACAATATGAATTAATGACAAATTATTTATCAACAAAATCGGTCAACGTATTGAAGGAGAAGCCCCTAGCTGGCTAGCCGCAGATGTCCGATGAGCAAAAGCTGGCAAGCTTTATGAGAAAACACAATGTACAGGAGTCGGTAGCACGTCAGTATCTGACAGCCAACAACTGGGCGCTGGAGGAGGCGAGCATCAAGTATGAGGACGACAAGGCCAAGCAGCGCAGCAGCCAAACCATACCCCCCGTCCATGAGTTCCACTCACTGCAGAGCATGCTGAGCCATCAGATACGGCCAGCGGATGAGCCTGAGGCGTACTTTGGCGGCGCCTCCGACAGCTCCATGCCGCCGCCGAGTGGCAAAACGCAGTCGAAGCGCGTGATCATCGATGACTCGACGCCGGCGCTGACCACAGCGGACAGCGATCGCAGTCTGCGTGCCTGGGGCCATGGCGTGCGGTTGGGCAGCGCCCATCCCATTATTCCGCCGCCGGCACGCGAGTCAAACGCTGGCGTCGACACGGACTCGGACTCAGAGCTGGAGGAGCACGAGCGAACTATTGTGGTGTTGCACTTGTGGTCCGAGGGCTTCTCGCTGGACAATGGCACGCTGCGACCGTACGAGGTGCCTGAGAACGAGCGCTTCCTGCGCGCCATCATGCGCGGCGACTTCCCGGACGAGATGCAGGAGCTCGGCCAGCGCATTGAGCTGAGTGTGAGGGATCGCACCAACGAATCGTATCGCGAATTGTCGCGCAAACAGTTCATGGGCTACGGTCGACCGCTGGCCAGTCCGACGCCACAACTCGAGCTGGGCGCACGGCCAAGCCAACTGCTATCGCCAGAGGAGCGCCAGCAGCGGCACGAAGATGACGCCCAGCAGACGGTACAGCTAAACGGACAGACTGCCACGACCACAATACAGTTTCGTCTGGCCAATGGCAGTCGCGTCGCCGCACGTTTCAACACCTCCCACCAAGTGGGGGATCTCTACAGCTACCTGCGCACGGCGCGACCCCAATACGCCGCCGACAGCTTCCTGCTCATGACTGTCTTCCCACGGCATGAGCTGCACGAGACCGATACGCGCACCCTGGCCGAGGCGAATCTGATTAATGTGCTGGTCATTCAGCACATGAACGAGGAGTCCGAATACGTTGAGCCATCATCTGAATCAAATTAAATAAGTGATAAGCCATAATAAAAAGAGCTTTAAAAATATATATATTATCAAAGTGATTTTTATTCGATATTTTTCTTTATTATGCATAAAAAAAAGTAGAAAATCTTATAATAATAATATTACTAGTTGTAAGTTTTTTCTTTTAAAATGAATCGTAGCCATGGTTAAAAAATTTAAATTTATTTTTAAAAATTTTAAATAGTTTGTTTATTTATTGTTTATTAAATATATTATCGTAAGTAGTTTATTTACTTTAATTAATTATTTTATTTTTTTTATTATGAATATTATTTATGATAATTGTGTTACCGATGATATGCTTTTTCTTTTAAAAACAAATGTTGCCAAAAGTTACCAAACTTTAATTTCTTTTTAATAATTAATAAAAATATTGTTTATTTTTTTTTTATTAATTATATTAGGGTAAAAAGTTTACTTACTATAATTTATTATGTAATTTTTATTGCTATTATTTTTTATTTATATATATTTTTAAATATTTTTATATTTATTTTTTATAACAATATGCAGTCAAAAATAAATTGAATGCTTTTAAAATATGTGCATAAATTTGATATTTAATTTTTATTTGTTAAAAAATTTAATTTAATTTTAATTATAAATAAAATTTTATGTGCATATAAATATACATTTAATAGTGATAAAGGGATTTTTGGATTCATTTCAACAATAAAATTTAAAAAAAAAATCTAATAATAATAATATACACATAATAATTGTGCAATATTTTTTACCTTTGAACTCACTATTTAAATAGTAAATAATTATTTTAATACTTTTTTTTTTTGCAGATTCCATACGCGATGTGCTCCACAAAAATGTCAGCTTTGTCGACTTTACCATGAATGTAAGTAAAGCTTATTATACTTCATATACGTTCATGTACTCACTCTGTACTTTAATATTAATCAAAATGTTTGTTTGTGTGCCGCAGGCAATTAAAATCGAGTCCGGTTTCATAGCGCTGATGAGTATTTTCGCAATATTGGCGCTGGTGCCATTGATAGCCACCTGCGCCTGGTGCTGCAGTCGTCGCAGCACCCAGGATGAGCTCGATCTCATACAGAACGCATCGGTGCACATACGCGACGAGTCGCTGGAGGAGAATCTGCGCTGTCGCAAGAGCGCCGGCCTGGTCACACTCTGGATAGTGTTCATACTGCTCACGTAGGTGTCTCAGCCAAATGGGAAAGTTTCGTTTTTGTCTAGCCGGAGAGTTCTCAACTCAATTTAATGGCACTTTGCAGGCTGAGCGACTTTAGCATATTTTATGCGAACAGTCGCCTTGCGTCGCGCATCGAGATGACGCCGGAGATGGTCAAGTCGGCTGTGCACGATGTGGAGGTCTTTCTAAAGGATACCCATCTACAAATCAAACACAAACTGGATAATGGCTTTCATGTTTCCGTTGAGAAAGTCGTCAAGGATCTGGAAGGTCAGTGGGTGTGCCCAACACACACACACGCACACAAAACTACAAACAAAAAAGTTTTTCCCTTGCCAACTTTATGGGCAACCACGTCGCGCACATTTTATAGTTTTCGATTCATGTATTATGCTAAAAACTTTATGCATTGCATTGTGAGTTATTGCAGTGACTGTTCCTACTCCTCCTCCTACTCCTGCTCCTGCTCCAGCACTCGCATGTGAACTCAATTTACGGTCTGTTTTCTTTTCTTTTGCCATAGACGTGGATGTTCTCCTTGGCGAGCCAATTCAAGCGGAAATATCTGCACACACTGGCCTCGAACTGGCATATGATTCATTGACGACACTTAGCCTGGGTGAGTTGTCTATTGGTTAAGTGCTCTACAGCTCCACAGCCATTGTGTGCCTCAATGCGTCCAACTCGGACTTGACCCAAATCCGCTTGTACTACATACTTTTGATATTTTTTATTGTATACGGAAGTGCAAACTTATCGCAATAATAGGGCAAAGTGTTGTCAGCAGAAATAAGCAAAGAAAAGTTGATGCAAAGGCAGAGTAAATCATTTAAAAATTAAAGTAAATCATGCCTCAGCTTTATAGCAGCCATCATAGTTAGCTAAACCTCAAACTATTCCCTGTACCAACTGCCAGCTACATCGCTTTAATCTTCAGAGTCTTGAGACAGCCAAGAGAATCGTATTAATATATCAGAATGTATATTGAAGTGGGAGGAGTGAAACAATTGTTTGCGGCCAATTTCATTAGGCGGAAGCTATTGGCAAATAAACGAGCACGAGTGAAGCTCAGGCAGTCCTCAGCAGGCTGGCTGGCTGGCAGGCCTCATCCGCATCCGCACAAGCACAAATGTCACGAAGGACAGCTGCATTATGTGCGCGCACAATGTGTAATTTAGTCGCAGTCAGCACCGTCCGCTCGGCCCCAAAATAAATATGCTACAATAATATTGTATTTTCGTGGGATATATTCTGTTGCAGCCAATGCGGAGCTCATCTATCGCGTGCTCATGCTGCAGGAGACAGTGGGACGGGCGTTAAAGCTGTCGCAGGAGGCCGCCGCCCGCATGGAGGAGCTGCAAATCCAGCTATCCGTGCTGCAGCGCCAGTGCACGTACCGGGACCGTCCGCTCTGCGACACATTGCGTATACGCAGCTTCGAGGAGAACGGCCTCGTGGACGCTCTAAAGACGGTGTGTGCCTTGAGTCAGTCAGCTTGATTGTCGCTTCATTCCCATTTAATTTCTGCACCATTTTTCCCTTTCCATTTCATGTGCTAACTGTAAATGCAACGGCAACTGCAACCGTGGACTAATTCGCGGCCATCTAAAATTTCGCCTCGTTGCAATTTGTTAGCTGCAAGAGGACCAGAGCATCTTTCGCATGCGCTACTTGGGCGAAATTGAATTTGGTGCCACTGTCAAGAATCTAACATCGGAAGTTGGCGTCTCACGTTCCATTTTCAGCAATTTCCCGCAACAAGTCAAACACGACACGGCATACGAACGCAACTGTAAGTCCAATCAAAACTCGTGACAAATCAAATGATTCTCTTCTTGCTTTTTTTTTTTTTGCAAGGCATAAATATAGCAGAGTTTTGCTAGAAATGTAACTCGAGGAGAGATAAAGTGTGTGTATGTGTGTGCGTGTGCTACAGCTAGTTTCAGAGATATAAAGCTGGCTTACTTACGGCTTTCATATGAATTTTTGCTTTTTTATTGGTGTTTCTATTCAATTTATTTTTATTTTCAGAAAGTTTTCAATAGAAAACTTTAAGCGAGTCTGGGTGACCAAGCAAGAGAGATACTTAAATATATTTTGACAGTTGTTTAAGTTATTCCAATTGCCAAAATGTTTAGTAACAGTTGCCATTGGATTATAAATTGTTTTATTAACACAAGCTCAAGAAAATCAAGTTTTTTATTTAAGTATTTATTTATTGAACACTATTTTTTTGATGAACAAAAAAAAAAAGGGGAATATGTTTATTCATATTTATATTTATTGTATATTTAAATTTGATCAAAAATATATATTTACAATTATTAAAAAATTTTAATGGCAATGAAAAATAAATAGAAAATAATAGTAAAATAGAAAAATAGTAAAAAATAAAACTGTAAAATAAATATTCAACACACAACATTTCTAGCTAAACAAAGAAAAATTAATTGTAAACATAAATTTCATATATAAAATTCACAAAAATTGAACTTGAGGTAAAACAAAATAACGCAGGCAAGATATAAAATCATTTTGGCCCAAAAGACACTTAAGATAATGCAGATGCTGAGAACTTTGAGTTATTTCATTGTCACTTCAGTCTTGATTACATTTAGTTCTACAAGTTGCATAAACCTTTTCGAACACAAACTCGATTATGGGTTCAATTTAAATGTACAACTCAATCAATAGCGCACGACAAGGGCCCAAAGCCAACACGTTTCATGTGTGTGTGTGTGGCATGTGCTATTTACACGTGACACACACAGCGTGTGGGATAGCAAGACAGGATGCATGTTGGTCCAAGTTTAACACCATATTAATTACTGTCACCTGGGCTACACAATACACTAATTGAATTGCCAAACTTGTTTCGCAGACACGCTGGAGCAGCTGGCCAGCATCCGGCACAGGACGACGGCGAACGCTCAGATGCTAACGTCGACAATCAATGCGCTGCTGGAGCGGCTACAGCGCACGTGGCCAGCTCTGGAGCCGGGCTACAATGAGCTGAAGGCATGGGCGAACACCTACTGGAGCATTGGCTGGATCGCAGCACTGGTCATCGTCTGGGTGATGCTCTTCATGCTGATGTCCTACTGCTGCTTCCTGTGCGAGTCGAATGTCAAATCGGGCGTCGTATTTCTCATTGCTGTCCTGATCATATGCATCGCCAGCATTTGTCTCACCTTCTACGGCGTCTTCTCGCTGGCCGTTGGCGGCAACACAGAAGTCTTCCTGTGCCGCTCTCTCAACACCAACAACTACGAGATGCTGGGTAAGCTATTCGATAAGCCCGGCTATGTCTATGCCGAGGAGCCCCAGACGGGCATCATCGGCGAACTGCTACGTCCAGCTGGCGTCAATCGATCTGTGGTTAATGTCAGTCTGGGCACAGCGCTCAGGTGAGTGGATTCTCTTTCTGTATCTCTCTCTCTCTCTCTCTCTATCTTAACCATGTCCACTAATATGCGTGTACTTAGACCTCTCCAGATAAGCCCCTCCGATACTGTACGTCCATAATCAACTCAAGTAACGAATTCTCTTATCCAATTACTTTGATACTGTACGTGCCTGTAATTTTGATAGCCCACCAATCCCTGCACAAAATATACTTACCTTCCTTGACCAGCCAGACGGATGAGTATTTAGGTAGCTCTCAATATGCCAACTCCTCTTGCCCTAGGTTCCACTAAGTATATATATTCTTGATCAGGGCGACGCGCTGAGGGCCTGTCTGTCTGTCTGTCTGAAAGTTTAATTAATATACCATCCGTCCAGTGTCATATCATTCAGCTTCTGTCATGCAGTCTCATCGCATTTAGCTTCTG